TTTTTATATAGTGTTGAATTCAATTTAGCAATATATTTTAGGGTTTTTAGTAGCATGGGTTTTGAATATGACTGCCTTGGTTTAAGATGCACCCAAGCTGAGAAATACTTCTAGACTCCCATGGTTTCTGTTGATGACCTAATTGAACATTATTTCTTTGAATTGAACACAAAAATTCATTGTGCATGAAATATATTTTAAAATGCATATCTACTTATTTTTTAGAATTCTAATAACAACTGAGATATTTGTTAGAGTGCCAAAATTTTCTTTTCACTGAAATAGAAGAGGTTTTAATTTTTGTCTGTAACATCCTTTTTCCTTAGTATTACTACTCAATAAAAGACATTTCTGTTGGAGGAATGTGTATTTGTTATGGCCATGCTAGTAGCTGCCCATGGGATGAAAGTACAAAGGTGAGTTCTAGTATTTCACATTTTGCTAAAACTTCAAATGGAAGTTGTATCTATAATGTTTGTATTATGCTTTTTTATTCAAGGCAAGTGTTGAAAGACATAAAATCATGCTGCAAAAAAGATTTTTTTTTGCAGATAATTTAACTGGTTTCATTTTCTTGTTTTTTGTTAAGTCACCATAAACTTTCATTTTTTTCAAAATTTTTTCTTTGCTTTGTTTGGAGCATATATTTCCAATTAATCCTTACTACGATTTTTTTATAGTAAAGTATATATAATAAAATTCACCATTTTAATTATTTAAAAATGTATGATTCACTGTCTGTATGATTTTAAAGCTCTCCCCTCTGTAAGACAAGCAAAAAACACGTGCAGTTATAAATTATGTTTACATTTTTAAAAGAAGGATTCTAGCCCTCTCACTTTCTCCCTCTTCCATTTTTGTGGTACTAAAATCAAGATAAAGTTTATCTGTTTTAGCATAATATTCAGTGAATAAGATTGCATCTTCTCTTCTTATTTTAAACAATTTACATGAAGTTACTTCTTGTAAGATTTTATTGGGGAATTGGGGGAGGGGAACAGCCAAGTTGTTGTCCTTCAGTCTTAGTTGTGGAGGATGCAGCTAGCTCAGCTCCAAGTCCAGTTGCAATCTGGCCAGCTGCTGGGAGCTTGTGGCTGCTCAGCTCGAGGTGCCGTGTTCAATTTTAGTTGCAGGTGAGCATAGCCCACCATCCCATGTGGGAGTCAAACCGGCAGCCTTGTTAGGAGCATGTGATCTCACCAGCTGAGCCATCCTGCCACTTGTTGGCAGCTCAGCTCGGACACAGCTCACTGGCCCATGTGGGAATCAAACCAGCAACCCTGTTGCTCAGAGCTTGCGCTCTTCACCAACTGAGCCACTTGGTCAGCTAATGAAGTTACTTATTTTCCCCAATATTTGTAATAATTTAACTCTTGAATACAATTGTTCTCTTATTGATGCTGAAAAATATGTAGATGAATCTCAAGAACGTTATTAATAGGAGCTTTCAAACCCTTAAGGTCAGTGTCTCTTTTTTGAAAAGTTTTTGTTAGGTAACTCCTATTTTAGTTTTGCTTTATCCCTTCTCACTTCTGTTTGTAACTAGGTCATACATGTATATTTTTCTCTAAAACTTAAATGCCAGTTTGCTTTTGTATAGCTATATATCCTCAGTTGTAAAGTCTTGCTATATTTTTTTATTGTGGTAGGTTCCTTTTAAACTAAAATGAGGAAAAAACACAGGTACGTTTTCAGGTGCAATTTTGTACCCCTGTTTCTTAGAAACTACAGTGTCAGTGTGAACATAACACCTGTGGACAGAGCTGCAGTAGCTGTTGTCCTGGATACCATCAGCAGCCCTGGAGGCCCGGGACCATTTCTTCTGGTAACATGTGTGAAGGTAAGTCCTCTGTGAATGGGAAGAATGTAGAGCTTTTCCCCCCTCTTAGTATGCTGAAGTTTATGGTGGCTTAACAACATTTGTAATTAGTAAATTACTTGTTTTCTTAGACATTCATATTCAAATAGTTCCCATAGCTCCAGATTACCTTGATAAAATTTAAACTAGTGAAACCTAAATGTATCTTGATGGATTTGCTGTTTTAGCTAAGAGTCCCTTTCCCATAGAATCATTTATTCTTTATGAATTTGGATTTAATTTTTAAATAGGCAATAATGTCACAAGATTCCAACATCTAACAATATATAAAAGTATGTAGTGCAAAGCATTATTTCCACTCTATCTTGATCTTCCCCACTTTGTATTTCCTAGTATGTCCTTGCTGAAATTTTTTATGCAAATAAAGCATATATTAACATATTTCTACACTGTTCATACACAGAACTTTATGTACTTCATGTGCCATTCTATGCATTACTTTTATATTATAGCTTGAAAAGAAACCTTTCCATATTAGCAATATAAAATGCGATTTTAAAAATAATAGCACTGAATTCCATTATATGGATGTAACATAATAAATGGCTACATATCTGTGGATATTTTGGTTGTTACCAGTCTTTTGTTAACTTAAGCAATGGTGCAATGATTAAATGTGTACATGTCTTTGACAAGTGTGCAAGTACTTCTGCAAGACATCATCCCAGAAGATAGACTGATGGATCAAATGGGAATGGACATTCATAATTCTGATAGCTATTCCCAATTGCGCTCCATAAGATTGGTTATATCTTATTAAAATTACTTATTCTATAATTTTAAGTTAATTTATAGTCATAGAAACTTACTTAGGGAGGGAAGGGTTTTCCTTATATAGACAAAATATATACATATTAATTGAGATGTTAAAATATTCTCCTAGAATGTAATTGTCACAATAAAGCCAAAGACTGTTACTATGATGAAAGTGTTGCAAATCAGAAGAGAAGTTTGAATACTGCTGGACAGTTCCGAGGAGGAGGAGTTTGCATAAATTGTCTGCAGAACACCATGGGAATCAATTGTGAAACCTGTATCGATGGATATTATAGACCACACAAAGTAAGAGTGTTTCTTTGCCATAACTGAGCCTCATTGTCTTCCCAAAGTGGAAAAGAGACTTCCCCACGTGTCAGCCTCAGTACCGGTGACTCATTTCCTTTTGTAATATTTCATTTATATTCTTATTACGCTAGTAGTGTTCTTCAGATATCAATTTCCTACTCTATCTGTCCTGTGTTCTTGCTCAGAGAAGGATGTCCACTCATTGTTATTCAACTTGAATTCGGGGGCCCCTTGGCTGTGTAATCTCAGAGTTTTGTAATATTATCTCTATGAAGAGTCAGCCAGTAACTAAAGCAGCTGTATCAGAGCACAGGAAGTGCTCAGTCAGTCCTCAATTGACTTGATATGTAGTTGTCACATGAATCCCTGTGGTGGGCTGGTCATAGGTGACCAGATGCATATATAAGTAATGCTTATATATGGCTGTGAGAGATAGTAGAGCGAGAGGGGTCTGGGTATCAGTGATAATGGGAAAGGTGACACTTTGCTAATGATACTAGCTGTTTTCACCATCAAAAAGGTGTTTGGGGATTTCTAGCTTGAGCTCACCTTATCTTCCTAAGACCTACACCCGCTGGGTACATAAAATCATTATAATAGTCACATCTGGGATAAAAAGTTGATATGTTGTCATTGGTATTATTGTTTATATTGTTGTTAATATTGCTGTTATTTCTAGTAAGATAATCCAGGACAACCTCTGCCTTTTAGGTGTCTCCTTATGAGGACAACCCTTGCCATCCTTGTGACTGTGACCCTTTAGGGTCCTTCAGTTCTGTGTGTATTAAGGATGATCCCCATTCTGATTTACACAAAGGTAAGTACTTGATTCATTTTTGTGCTTGTAATTTATTTTTTTTTTCTGATGGAAGATTTGTACCTAGTGGAACTATTACTATTGCATAGCAATTTGGTGGTATGATTTGGTATTGCATCTTTTGTTCACCAACTATTTGTCAAGCACCTACTATGTGCCAGGCAGTTTTCTAGGACCTAGGAACATATACTTGAACAAGATGATCAAGGCCCCTGCTCACAGGCAGACACTGAACAAACACATGCATTTGTAATACAATACCAGGCAGGGATAAGGGCCATGGGCATGAAGCAAAATTAGGAATCATGATTCGGGTGTGAAGACGGCAAAGCTGGGGTGATGAAATGACATTTGAGAGGTTAATTGAGCATTTGATGAAAGAAGAAATAAGTGTCAGTTTAAAGTCCTATGTGGAACACAGTAAACAGCAATCACTCTATTTAGCTCCTAGAAGATACTTAGAGGGCTTTAGCATACATCTTATCTCAAAAGCAAGCAAATCCTCCGGTTAAGTTTGTAAATGTCAGTGTCCTTTCCTTTTCAAAAACTGGCCAATGAATTTGCAAATATATGAGGATTCTGAATAGTTTGCATCTGTTCAAAGATTTCTGTGACCCCATCAAATTCTCAGTCACTAGCAGTTAAAATGGATATTGACATGAAGGGAAGGAGATGCCAACTGTGGGGTCCACCAGCACCGTGGAGGGTAAATTACACAGTTGAATTGATTTTTAAATGCCACTGTTAATGAGAGGATGATGATGATGATAATGACAATTACCCTTGATTGGGAACATATGGGTTCAATATATGTATAATATTCTATATATATACCAAAAAATGAATACACATTTTAAGAAAAGAAAACTGTATTAAAATTGCAATACTCAATATATATCAATAATAAAAGATGAATACAAGTCATGTTTGACTTCTGCAATTACAAGAGGTGCTCAAAGTAGTTACCGTCAGCATCCAGACACTTCTGATTACGGCGAACCACTGCTTGAACAACGTTGATCAAAGTGTCCACTTGTATACATTTTTTGGTACCCCGGTATGTGTATGTGTGTGTGTGTTTGTGTGTGTGTGTGCGTGTGCGTGTGTATGTGTGTACACACACACATATATATGCTTATTTATTTATTTATTTACTATTTTAACTTTCAACCATAGCAGATGAAAATTATTTAACCCATTTTACAGGCAAGGAAACTGTAGCTCAAAGCAGCTAAGAATCTTGGCTGAGGTTACACAACCAGAAAGTTTCAGAGCTGGTATTAAAAGCAAATATAGTGCTCATTGACCTCTACCATCTGTCTTTGTGTTTAAACACAAAAACAAAAAAATTTATTTTGTGATGTAATTCATTGCCAGATAGTACAGTATACCCATTCAATGTGTGCAGTATTTTTTGGCATATTCATGGGTGCAACCATCACCACAATCTAATATTGGTACATTTTCATCACTCCGTAAAGAAACCCCTTACCCACTGGCAGTCACTTCCATTTCCCTCTACCCTTCTCCCAGCCCTAGGCAACCATTAATGAACTTTCTCTGTATAGATTTGCTTATTCTGAACATTTCTTATAAATAGAACCATACAACATGTGGTGTTTTGTGACTGGCTTCTTTCACATAGCATAACGTGTTCAAGGTTCATCTATATTGTAGCATGAATCGGTACTTCAATCCTTTTTATTGCTGAATTATACTCCATGTATATATTAATTTATATATCCATTCATCAGTTGATGAATATTTGAGTTGTTTAGACTTTTTGGCTATTATGAATAATGCTGCTACAAAAATTCACTTATTTTTTTTGCGGATGTATGTTGCTATTTTTCTTAGGTAAATACTTAGGAGTGAAATTGCTAGGTCGTATGGTAACTGAGTGCTTAACATTTTGAAGAGGTGCCAAATGGTTTTCCAAAGGTGCTACACCATTTTACATTCTCACCAGCCTCTGTGCCTTTTATCTTTGCTCTCTTTTTTAAACCAGGGGTTGACAAACTATTGTCCATTGACCGTATCTGGCACAGCCTGTTTTTGTAAATTAAGTTTTACTGTTTATGTATTATGTATGGCTGCTTTCACGCAATAATGGCAGAGCTGAGTATACTTGTTGCAACAGAAACTCTGGCCAAAGAACCTAAAATATTTACTCTCTGGCCCTTTACAGATACAGTTTGCCGACCCTTGCTTTACACCTCTTTTACCTTCCTATTGAGTCATTGCCGTTCTTTTCTTCCCAGGAAAATGGCCTGGTCAATGTCCATGCAAGGAAGGTTATGCAGGAGAAAAATGTGACCGCTGCCAGTTTGGCTTTAAGGATTACCCAGCCTGCGTCCGCTGTGACTGTAGTCCAGCTGGCAGTATGAATGAGGACCCATGCGCAGAGCCGTGTCTCTGTAAGGTACATGTGGAGGTTAAAACTGTCTCTGAGTTTCCTCTGAGGCTTCCTGAAAAAAGGAAGATGTTCCAGTGGCTCAGATGATCAGTTCCTGAGCAAAGCAGCGAGGTATAAGCAGAACCCTTTGTTCCCCAACACTTTCCTGAGAAACATGACATTATGTCATAGCAAGTTGGCCCCAGTGTATGTCCTTGGACTTAGAGGAGCACCTGGTTTTCTTTTTAGGTGCTTTATGGGCAATGGTCGTATATTCTAGAGGTATTTCTGTGACTTCCCGAATGAAACCAAATACTACATTTCTTAGGCCTGACCGTTACCTCTACTATGACTTTCTTTTTTAGCTTTATGTTTAGAGGAGAGCCAAGCCAACATTAAATTTCTAAGAACATTAATTAATGGCAGACATGTTATTTTTTATTTCTCTTACAAAGGAATTGGACAATGATAAGGAATGCATTAATTTGGTACCAGCGAGGTGTTTTATTTGACTATCTGATATTAATAACTATATCCCCCATAATTCTAAGGACTTCCAGTTATATCTTATGTGCTTATTCCTATGTAAGCAGTCTTAGGCACATGTGACATATGACCAAAAATAATCTTGAGCAATTATTAATAAGACAAACATTTATATAGCCCTCTTCAGATTTTAAATGCTTGACAGTCAGCAGAAATGGAAGATTTAAAACAATATAAAAAAAGCCATTTAAATATAATGACTATGCTCTAATATCCTTAGCCTCGATTCTTGACTACAAAATCAAATGACAAGTATTTCAAAATTTCTATTCTGGAAATATTAACATTATGCTCCACATTTATTTTGAGCATCTTTTTATTTACCTGTTTCTCTGGATTACCAAACACCTTTCTTGTTAATGTCATTTTTTATTCTGTCTACCTTTTGGTTTCAGAAGCTAACCTTTTACTCTAACTTGCAGGAAAATGTTGAGGGGAAAAACTGTGATCGCTGCAAACCAGGATTTTTTAACTTGAAGGAAAGAAACCCCCAGGGCTGCTCTGAGTGCTTCTGCTTTGGTGTTTCCGATGTCTGCGATAGTCTTTCTTGGTCCATTGGTCAGGTGCGTGCACCTTCCTAGAGCCAGGATTTAATAAACGTGCCCCCTCACAGGAGCTCTCTAGGAGTTCTGTCATGAAGTGATGAGGCTGACTTTCCCTGTAATGCTGCTTTCATTCATTTGCAATGACATTGGGCGTGGATGAAAGGCATCCCACTACTAAAGTGTTGCTGAAGTTTTTTTCTAGGTCATGTGTTTGTTCCCACATACGTTTCTCTATCAAAACAATAGGATTATTGTTATTACAGTAATGCAGAATGCATTGTGCTTAAATTTCTTCTGTGGGGAAATGTATACAGTTGTGGAATCAGATCTCATCCCACCTGCCCCATGCTGGTCGCAGCCAGGAAACACACCAGGACAGGGGGACATGCAGAATTTTCTAGGTCAAAGATGCTGTCTAGGATGAGGAGGATGAAAACATTATGAGGGCAGGCAAGGGATCCCCATTTGTTTTGGGAACTGAGGTTTCTAGGGTGATGAGTTCAAGGGGGTTGCCAAATGGTGACTAGGGGAGAGAATGTGATGCCTGGAGGTTAGGGAGGAGCTTCAGGGCTAACCTGGGATAATCCCCTCTCCTCCCTGTGCCCCACCTCAGGAGACCTGTATTCAGCGTGGGGGTGGGGGAAGGGTGGGGACGTTATTTCCCGACTCTCCTCCTTTCCTTCTCTCGCTCCCTCCCTTACCCAGGCTGGTGAGCAATGGGGGCGGCCTGGGGGGAGGGAAAGGGAACTCTGATCAATACTTGAGAATAGAGGTGAGTTCCTGTGGCTGACCCCTTGTTGTTTCTATGTAGGTGAAATATTGTAAGGCTAGGATTGGAAGGTTATTTTTATACACTTTTCCATATTTGGCTAAAAAGAAGGGGCAAAAAGAAAGAAGTCACAGTTATCAGAAGACATTCTATTCAATGCATTTATTAAGCTCTTTGCTATTTTTTAATCTAAAAAAATATTTCTGTGGCCTTCACAGTTCTGCTCGCCTGTTTGCTTATACTTGATCTGGATTTGGGGGCTGTGTGGTTCACACTCAGATTTTCCTGGTCCTTTGACAAATAGAAGGGTCACAGACCCTGCAGTTCCATGGCCTCTGTGTGTTAGCTGCATCCCTACCTAAGTTTTTGGGTCTGCCTCTTCATTGTGAAGATATTAGTACTAGCATGCGTGAAATCTAAGGAAACCGCTATTTTGTATTCTGTAATTCTTGGATTTTTCTTTTTTTTAAGGTGAAAGACATGGCCGGGTGGCTGGTCACTGACTTGATCAGTCCAAATAAGATCCCGTCTCAGCAGGACGTGCTGGGTGGACGTCATCAGGTCAGCATCAACAACACGGTGGTCATGCAGAGCCTGACTTCCAAGTATTACTGGTCGGCCCCAGAGGCTTACCTCGGAAATAAGGTACTTCCGGTGACGGTGTCTTAGACAAAGATCTCAGAGCACATTAAGAGAGAACTTACGTTGGCATTTTAAGTAGTCTTATTGGTCACTTCAATGCTTGACAGAAAATTAGAGGGTGTTTACTGACACCTGACTCACACAGCCTTTTTTATCTTGTTTGACTTTTTATTATGTCATTAAAATAGGAACTTTTGTTCTTCTTTGGCCCTGTCATAGGCAGTCTGTTGTATGAAGTCCCATCCCTTCTCCTGCGACAGATTTTCTGTTTTCCTCTGGGTTCCTGGGTCACTTGGACCTTTGTGAAGGGTCAGTCACATCCTGCTTTGTTTAGTTGGCTGAGTACTTATCTTAGCTTGGCATATAGGAGACACTGGGAAAGGCTGTGCACAAGGATGGCTGCTCTGACCCCTAGTTTCATTATCATGGTGACTGTTGCTTACATAACGTTCACATTTATGAACAGATAGAATCCTTTCCATTTTAGGAAAATGCTAAATGGTGATTCTACAAAGTGGAAAGTTTGTTAATATGAGTTAAAAAATTTTCTTTCACCGATTTAGTCCCATTCCTCCTAATTATGCCACTTCTCTCCAGATTGATTGATCTGAAAATATATTAAGTGGAATCTTTCTCAAAAACCATAACTCCCTGTTCACTTTTACCATGAGTTTGTTTTGTTTTAAAATAATGGTGTGTTTTCATAGTAGTATAGGTCTTATAGCTTGGGAAATGTCTATTTAATGATTATATTTTAATTTTATAGCTTGTTTTATATATATTTAGTAATGTTTATTTTTGTAAATGATTATTTTTCCCATCAAACTATAATCCTAGAAGATTTTTTCTATTTATAATACAATTTTATCACCAAAGGTCAATAGTTGTTTTTTTGTTTTTTTTTTTTTTGTCTCTTGGGAGTACCTCTCCAATTTTATGGTATAAAAGATTGGATTCTGCACAACAGGTATGTTGTAACATACCTGGTAGAAATAAAATCTCTATTTTACATTTAAGAATATCTGATCAGGAAGAAACACCTTTAGTCCTTTCTTTAGCTGATCAAACGTATTCCTTGTTATTCTCATACAAGCAGGACCATGAGATCAAAATGTCGAGACTACAGTCGTGAATCATTCTCCACCCCCTTAAGTACAATATTTAAGTGAAATAAATATCTGTTGTGTGGTTAGCAGAAGTCGGCAGTCATTCACCTTGGAGCCTCTAAGAAGGAATGCATTTTGGTAATATCGATTAAACAAAACACTCATATTATAGGCTTCCTTTTCACTGCGTTTAATGTGAACTGTCTTATGTATGGTGGCCACTCAGACACCTTGCAGCCTAGTTGTTTCCAGGTGGCTCCTAGTGACCTCTTTTCCTTGCTGAGGGGCTATGATCATCTCCTTCCTTGCTGTTCCCTGTCACTTAAACGTTCCAGCTGACTGCATTTGGCGGATTCCTGAAGTACACGGTGTCTTATGATATTCCTGTGGGAATGGTGGACAGCGACCTCATGTCTCATGCCGATGTTATCATTAAGGTAATTGCTTTCACACTGTTTTGCTATAGAGCTGAAGTGCTTAGTGTGGTGACACTTTCAGAATTCGAATTGGCTAAGCAAGGCCATAGTAGCAAGGAGCTCATGGCCAGATGGGATTTGACTTATCTGGACACACAGAGTGTGAGAATTCTGTCTTCGGGCCCATTTCTGGAATTGCTTCAGGGCAGTACTTGTCTCTCATCCCTGATCTCCACAGCGACCTGTCTTGTCACATTATAAAGGGAGATGTGTTTTTGCTCTGACATTGGAACTACCTTTCCCTACTGCCACCATTGCCTGCCCACATGAATGATTAGGCAGCAGTGCTTGGCAATGTGGGGATAGGAGATGCGTAGTCATTTTTGTCCTCAGTCTCCATTCCTGTCCCTTTATCCTCCCTCCCTCCACCATAAAAAGACCCAGCTCAGCCTCACCCAGAAGGATTCCCAGAGTAGTAAGAAACCACTTCAGGTTCTTGCCTGCAGTGTCTGCACTCCTCTCCTGATACTTTAAATGACCTGTATCTCCATCTCCAACCTGCAGCAATTGGAAACTGTGTGACATAAACACAAATTTAGTTAAGAGCAATTTTTAATTTTTAACAGAAAATTTGTTAACAGCAATTTTATGAAAAGCTAGAGGTACATTTACATCTTTTTTCTACTTTTGTTCTTCAGTTAAAGATGAGGGGTGTCAGATTTGTTGCTTTGAGGAAAATGGTGGGCAAATGCATGATTTTATTTCTTTTCTGAGATCCCAACAAAGGACGCAATTTTTATATTTATTATTCAAATCCCTCTGAGAGGAACACAACGAAACATCTCTGATAGTTCTGGACTGAATTATAGATAACATTACATGTTCGACACAAGAACTTAGGTACAAATGAAAAGCCATGTTGCTGAACACAAAATTTGTTTTCATTCCTTGATCATGAAGTTGAATTACAAATGGATTTCTTCTTGTTTTTAAATGTTAGGGAAATGGACTCACTTTAAGCACCTGGGCTGAGGACTTGTCATTGCAACCTTACGAAGAGTATGCGATTAAACTTGTGCCTGAGAACTTCCGGGATTTTAATAACAAAAGGGAGATAGATCGCGATCAGCTGATGACAGTCCTTGCCAATGTGACACATCTCTTGATCAGGGCCAACTATAATTCTGCAAAAATGGCTCTTTACAGGTGTGTATTGAAAGGGAGGGAAAAACTTATGGTGAGGGAACTTCACTCTTGTCTTTATTTAGTATTATATATTTTAAGCTTAATATATTTTACTTGATTATTTTAAGGACACTGTTAATGGACTTGGCTGTCCTAAAATTACTTTTTATTACTATAATTTTATTGAAGATGTAAGAATAGTTGTCCATGGCAAACGTATCTAGTAGGAGATAGACTTGGGTTTCTGATCCTGAGAAATGCCTGACAAGTTAACAATTGTCTAGACCATGCTGCATCTGTTTTTCACCCTCTTTATGTTAATGGTCTCAGACTTTACACAGCCTAATTAAGTTAATGTGTCTGTCTTAGTCATTTTATTACTTCGAGAAGATCAATTTCTGACAATGCCAGGCTAAGCATTAACGTTAAGTTTAAGTAAAGCAAATCAGAATTACACATTTAAGGATAATCTCTCTGTATTTGAGATAAAATCATTACATTTCAAAAGTCAATAAGGATTGATTTTTCTGAAGTGCTTCAACTCACAATGGGTGACATCACACATTTCTCACAGCCATCTATAGATAGCAGCATGACTTTACCCCAAATGTTGAAAGCATTTTTAGGGAATAATGACAGCTCCAGAAAGCATACTGCTGTGAAAATCTTTAGATTCTTACAAAAATCACATCACCATTTTGTTTGCATTAGGTCTTCTTTAAGAATCCATCTTCATTGGTGTTAGATGTCATTTGTGAGTGTGGAAGCCATTTAACAACCACTCTCTATTTGTAGGTTGGAGTCTGTCTCTCTGGACACAGCTAGCCCTAATGTTATAGACCTGGCACTAGCCACTGACGTGGAGCACTGCGAATGTCCCCAAGGCCATGCAGGGATCTCCTGTGAGGTACCATTCCTTCTGTCCTGTCTTCTATTTCCAAAGGGGAAGGAAACACATTGAAGGTGACATAATGATGCACGTTTGAATTCTAACTTGAGAAACCTAGTGTTTCTAAACTTCAGGCTTTTAGGGGTTATAGAAATATTGAAAGCCACATCGTTTAAAGAAATCTGATTCCTCTTCCAGAAGAAACTATTCTGAGCTCTTTCCCTGTTACCTCCTTTAATCCTGACAACAACCATATCAGGTAAGTACTTCATCTATTTTCTATTCTGCAGATTAGGAAACATCCAATGGACTTGCCCCCTTCAATCTATGACAGCTTGTTGTCTTTCATGACTGTGGCTCTTTTGAAGAGTGCTGGACATTCTGTGGGGCTGCTCTTTGAGCTAGGGCTTGTCTGTTTTCTTACGATTAGGTTGAGGTTATGCATTTTGGCAGGTAGGTACGGAGGTGATGTGCCCTGTCAGTGCCTCCTGTCAGGAGTATTATGTCACTGTTTTCTTCCTGGGGATGTCACTTGGATAAAGTGGTGTCTGTCAGTTATTTCCACTGTAAAGTTACTTTTTCTTTTAAAAATAATGATTGTTCAAAGGGGCAAGGATAATAAAAAATTTGGGTCGGAATTTAGGGAGTATCCAAACTTGGTAGTGTCATTTATCTGTTTAATCTAACTTTGCTGTTTTATATTTTATTTGTTTTTAAACCTTTAATTCTTCCTTTTGTATAGCTGTTTATAGCCCTTGGCCTTGTACATAGCTATCTAGCTTCCAGAACTTAACTCCTTATTTACAGTTTATTAGAGAGAAGTTTGCAGTTGTACTTAGTGTCCCTATTCTTTTTAAAAAGACTTTATTTAGGAGCAGTTTTAGGTTTCCAGCAAAATAGAGAGGAAGGTACAGAGATTTCCTAGATAGCTCTTACCCCCACCCCCACAGGCACATTCTTGCCCATTACAACATCCCCCACTAGAGTGGTACCTTTGTTACAATCCGTGAACCCACACATACACACCCAAAGTCCTTAAGCCCTGTTCTTCCTCTGCCCTCTCTCTGCGTTATCTCAAGGAGAAGCCAATTTCTTTGCCTTGCAGAGAGCGGGGCATAAAAGTCGTGCACGTCTTGGGCCCTCATGTTTTTCCTTTCCAATGGAGACTATGTTTTTCCTCTGTAAGGATATGAGCCTTCCCATCCTTCACACACTGGATCTACCAACAGGGACGGCTACTTAGCGGGAACGTGACACACACCTGAGGAAACCTTGAAACAAAGCCTCAGCAGGTTCTTCAATAGAACTACATAATCGTTTTCCCAAAGAGAAAGAAGACCACATTTGGCCCTTTGAGCAAAGAGAACACATCATCGACATTTTCTAATTGTACATAATTAGATATATTTCAATGAAATGAGTTATTTTGTATAATACTTTCAGTGCAACCATGTTGCTTTCTTACCAAGGCCAGTTGCATTTTTAATTGATTTGGATTAATTATCAAAACCAAGATCATATGGGGGTGGGGAGAGAAACAATGAGTCTAAGAT